AATGACAAAGAGAAGACCTTGGACAAGATGGATTGATCCAAGGGTTGCAACAATGGGCTCAAGTGAGAACTGTAAGGCTGGCACAGGACTGGGTGGTCTTGGTTCTGCTGTAGGTAGGAGTGCTATGAGTTGGAGAGACTCAATGACACCTAACAGTGACAATAACAGCTTTTCTGCAAAGATGTCCAGTCACAGATCTCCATCCAGGATCTCTTTGTGTGGGAACACACTCTGCCACAATAAGTTTGGTTTGGTTTGGGGTTATCTATTCTTTGTTCATGGAAGACACTTGGGGGAACCAATGACAAGGGTCTCCATGTGACCTCCTCCCTGGGGTACGGACAACAGAAAAGTGGGTGAAGGGAGACATCGGACAGGACAAGATATGACAAACTAATAATTTATAAATTATCAAGGGCTCATGAGAGAGGGGGGAGCGGGGAGGGAGGGGGAAAATGAGGACCTGATGCTGGGGGCTTAAGTGGAGACCAAATGTTTTGAGAATGAGGAGGGCAGTGAATGTACAAATGTGCTTTACACAATTGATGTATGTATGGATTGTGATAAGAGTTGTATGAGCCCCTAATAAAATGATTTTAAAAAGTAGATTAAGTGAGGCAAATTTGAGTTGTTTTACAAATAATCAATGTGAGCAGTCAATCCTCACTGCAGTCACATGCTTCATCGGAACAAGTTCTATGCCTCACTGACGTGCTTGCCCCTATAGCTCTCAGTATTGAAGTACTTATATCTATTTTCTCTTTTATTTCTCCATGCTTCATCCATTTGTGTCCCAACATAGGTTATGAAAGACATTCTTGGGTCTTTTTAAATTATCCATCCTACAAGCTTTTCTTCCTTTATGGATAGAATAAGTATTTACTGTTAGCATACTTTTCTTCTTTCTCTGACACACTAAATTATTTACTGATAACATGCTTCAAAGTTGTGCCTAAATAATAATTCTACTAAAGTCTGTGATATTATATCAAGTGTGCGATCTGAAGATCAGGTCAGAGGGGGCACAGTATAGATCAGGAGGAAATAGAAATGTACAAGGTGTCCTGATTATGTCCTTGAGAAATCTATGTCTTACAAGCTGTTATCCAGAAGTGAGCTGTGATCAATCCTGGGTTAGAGATCTCACCAGTGGCTCTCAGGTCAGTGCACCCTTGGAACTGCTTCTCTTCTGGATCTTCTCTCTGTTCTTCATCTTCAGTCTGCTGGTAATGGGATGACCTTGGGGCTCCTCTGTCTGCACCCCCAACTACACAGCCCCATATAACTCTTTTCACGTTTCATTTCATCCTTGTCTTTTGCTTCCAACTATGCTCTTGAGTGAAGGTTGAGAAAAATACTTTTGTAAATATATTATACAGATTTTTATCTTTCTTTCTTATCTTTTTTTGGGGGGTCTGCGTCTGACTGCATGGGCTCCCATGGTCTATACATCATCCCAGGAAACACTCATGAACAGACTGTGTTGAGGGTGACTGCATCAAGAGACCACTTGGACATGTGAGGTGGTGCGTACTGTCCCAAGTGAGTGGGTCCTGTGTGAGGTCCTACAAATTCTGTTGTCTTTGTCCTTGGTTTGTCCACGTCCATCAGAGGGTCAAGCATGGTGGGCAGTTCCCAGTAACAAAGGCCGGCCTTCAGTAGTACTCAGAGAAAGATCCATTTTCTTTCATCCAAGATAAATGCTTGGATGCCCACAGTTCAGGTCTACATCCCTGTCTTTGTGGCATCTCCAGGGCCTGCAGGTGATGTCCTCCTCTGAGGAGTTGTGTAGTGCAAGAAGACAGAGTACCTGTGCTTTACCGATTCGGGGGAACTTTGACCTGACAGTTGACCTTACCTGCCAACATTCCTTCATTGATAAGCTCATCTTAGCTGTAATCAGCCTGCTCGCCCTTTTTTCATACTAGTGAGCTGAGAAACTAGCCCATTTCTCTGAGAGAATGCCACCTCACCGGTCAATCTGACCAAGATTCAGAGAGATGCTGTTTGCAGGAAAACAATAACTGACTGTGTTTCGGTTAGCCTCCTGAAATCATACATGCTTGAACAGATGGAACAAGATTTTAAAATAAGTGTCATAAATAAAGGGTCAATTGATTATCTTAACATATGACAAACAAAAAGACACCATCCAAAGGGAACTAAGTGGAAATGATGGTAATAGGACAAATATAACATATTATGATTAAAATAAGAATCTCAAAAGTGGCGTAGTTAAAATTAAAAGAGAATATCAATTCATTTAAATTGCAGAGATAACGACATCAGATAAATGACCTTCTCAAAAGAGAAAGAAAATATACGAGTCAGAAAATACAAACAAAAATGTCAAAAATTTGGAAGGCAACAGTTGAAGAACCAAAGTCAATGTAAATTTAAAACAAAGGAAGATGAGAAGATGTCTTAAACTTGACAAATCTCAGATATGGAAAAAAGCATGAGGAAAATGAGAAGCAATAAAGGATGGATATACAAAAAAATAAGTATGAATATTGATGAACTAAGTGCTCAATAAATATTTACCAAAAGGAAAAGATGAAGCAAAGAAAAATTGAAAGATATAATACAATAATGGAATGATAATAATATAGCATTCTTGAGAAATATTGTAATAATAAATAGCTAGAAATTTACTTTGGAATTTAAAATACTGACCACCACCCACAACCCAAAGTCCCATTAACAAGAAAAATATATAAATGATTCATTTTAATAGATTTATTGGCATATACTTCACATAGCATACAATTTAATCATTCAATCATTATAAGAGTTGTATAAGCATCACCGCAAGCAATTTCACATTTTTTTTCATAATCATTTTTATTAGCTCTCCATTACTCCCAAATTTTCCCGCTGTGCTCTAGATTATTATTAATCCAGTTACTATCTCTATAACTTTACCTCTCTTGAATTTCATATAGAGAAATCATAAAAAACAAAAACAAGATTTGAACACCAGAAAACAATTATGACTAGACCAAATAGAGGAAAAAACCCTCTCTCAAAAATAAAGCAGAAAGTATTAAAAATTCAAAGAACTACAAAATGGGTCAAAAGGGAGATCAAATGACAAAGTAGTATATTTTAACCTAACTACATCTGCCCTAATTGCCTTCACAATGCTCTCTGTGATGATATCAAGACAATTCACATCAGGGGATTCACCAGAGGCTTCAGCCATGTGGGGACCTGGCAAATGAATTGCAGGTTTCCACGCTCGTCCATAGCCTTCTGCAAATCAGATGTTTATCACTTACGCTGCGATATTATTTCCTCCTTCAGATTGGGATTTTATTATTTACAATCCTTAGATTGCACAGACTGGCGTGCTTCTTCCATGTGGACTTGGTTGACAACTCAGTTAGATGAGAGTCTGTTTGAAGACAAGCCTTGGAGACCTCAGACACTATGATTTCTGGTAGCTGGGCAACATCCAGTTTCTTCACAACACTTTTCTGTAGCACTCATATCTTCAGTGATCTTTTCAAAATGATTTCTCTTTGAGATAATACTTTTTTTCTGAGAGAGATCAAGGATTTGTCATGCCCTGATGTTTACAATCTCAAACTAATTTTATATATCCAAATTTCTGCATTCCTAACTTTCAAATTATATGTATTTTTTAAATGTGATAGCAGGGAGATTCCAAATCTTCTTATGAGAAGATATATTTTTAATGTTACAAATCAAAAATAGCAGAGAAATGTATTAGAGGGAGATTTTGTAGCAACTGGGAAACTGGTAGACATGGAGTGTTTGAAGGTTAGAAGTTAGTGTGTTCATATTAACATTGGCTCGGTGGACCCAGAAATGGAGAAGAAAATAATAACACACCTTATTATCCTGGGATGATTGCAACTAAGACCATGTCAGCTCTGAGTGTTAGAGAAATTCTCAGTTTTAGGATTCTTCTGAGCTATTGTCTACCTGAGTCTTCTCTTTATTTGAAAAAGATCCAGCTATTACAATAACTCCAGATTAACCTGAGTTTAGAAAGTGAGAATGATACCATGCAGGATTATCTACCAGCACATGGAGTTCAGCAAGTGTACTTCCCACTTTGTGGAGAGTGTCTCTCACCACCAATAATGAAAGTACTCTTATCTAATTAAGGTAAGGATTCTTAATAAATAAGAGACAAACTTTTAGGAATTAGCATAAACCAAGATCCTGGTTAATCCAATGTTAGCAAAACCACTTGGTACAAGAGGTTTCTGTGCTTGTGTCTACTGGATTTCTGAAGCTCTAATTTGTAGTGTTTGTGGCTCTCATTCCAGGTCTCAGGTTCAAATTAGTGATCAATAGCATGGAAACTGCTCTGAGATTCTAATGATGATGGAGCAAGCATTGGTATTTGCAGTCCAAAGTTTAAGATAAGATATGCTTTACCACTTGCCAAAGAAGCAGAAGATCACTCAGGAGTGGTCCCCAAATGCCCTCCAAGTGTTACCCTCTGAAGAGATCCAGTCTCAGGCTGTAGTCTCTGGGGCCACCCAGGATTGGCCTCTAAGCTGGTATCAACTGAAACTGAATGCTCTCTCAGCTGCAACTAAAGAATCAGTAAGCCCCCACTCCTGGGCTTAATCTGGCCAGCTTTTCTTTGTCAATAAAGTTTGATTGGAACACAGAAACACTCACTGATATACACATTCTGTGGCTACTCTTGCCCAAAGACCTTCTGGTCTTTGTTACAACAGAGACCAGAAGGCCTCCAGAGGCCTCATGATTTGACCATGAAATGTGTCTGACTGCAGTTACTTCTTGTGTCTTATCAAATAATCAATGCCAACCTCAATGTAATCAAGGTATTCTTCTCTTTCTTCTTCTTCTTTTCCTATAAGCACTTAGTTTAAGTTCTTAAAGTTTGGGTCAGGAATATTACATTTAAGGTGGCATTTCTTCCAGCATATGGTACAAAATTGCAATGTCCATGTCCCACAGGGCAAAGCCCCCAATCCAGGGCTCTCTGATATCTGTCACATTGAGCTCTCCTTGCATAGCACTCTCCGTAGGGCGCCCTTCACCTCTGCGTTCCTCATGCTGTAGATCAGGGGGTTCACCATAGGGTTGAACAGACAGTAGAACAGGAAAATGACCTTCTGTTGTTCCTCAGAGTGGCTGGATGAGGGGACAATGTACATGATGATGGCACTCCCAAAGAAGAGCCCGACCACACAGAGGTGGGAGGAGCAGGTGGAGAAGGCCTTCCTGCGTCCATCCCCAGACTGGATCCTTATGATGGCAATGAGGATGCGGGTGTAGGAGACCAGCACCACGCAGAGGGGCCCCAATGCAACAAACGCACAACCAACAGAGAGCACCAATAAGTTGAGCCATATGTCAGTACAGGCCAGCTTAAGGATAGACAGGAATTCACAGAAGAAATGGTCAATCTCATGAGGTCCACAGAAGGGCAACCTAACGATGAGAATGATATGAACTAGAGGCAAGATAAAGCTAAGTATCCAGGAGGTCACTGCCAGGGTAATGCAAAGCCTCCAGCTCATGATGACCGAGTATCTCAGGGGATGGCAGATGGCCACGTAGCGATCGTAGGACATCACCACCAGGAAAAGACATTCTGCCACGCCAAAGGACATACAGAACAAGGTCTGCATGATGCAAGGGACAAAGAGGATGGTTCTTTTCTTGCTCAGAAGGTTCACCAGCATCTTGGGGACGTTGTTGGAGGCATAGGACATGTCCACGACTGCCAGATGCGAGATGAAGAAGTACATGGGAGTGTGCAGTCGGGGATCCAGGCAGATGATCCCCACAATAGCCCCATTTCCTAGCAGGGTTAAAGCATAGCACAAGGAGAAGAGCCCAAAGAAGAAGTATTCCACTGAGGGGTCCACGTGGAATCCCAGTAAGGTGATCTCTGAGATCCAGGTCTGGTTGTCCCCCATGCTCATGCGGCTCAAGCGGACGGGGCCAGGGCTGCAACAGGAAGGTCGGAGCTGAAGAGCTATCCAAGGTGCACAATATACAAGGAGTGATGGAAAAAGAGAGTATTTACAAATGAATCATTGCACATGGATTTTCTTTATTTTATTTTTGGAAAATTGTCTCTTTTAGATAAAAAGAGTCATGGCCCCATAGCGGTTACAAGTTGCTCTTTGACCTTAGTGATCAAGGTTCAAAACCACCAGCTACTCTAAAGGAGGAAGACAAGGCTTTCTACTACCACAAAAATTACGGTCTCAGAAACTCACAGGAACAATTCTTTCCTGTCCTGTAAACATCGGCTGGATGAGTGACTGGCGGTAAGTTTTGAGTTTTGGTTATTTTATTTTTAGCTCCATTATTAAACTAAGTCAGTATTCCCATAAAATTGGAGAAAAATCTTTGTTCAATGAAATTGTTGAAACAACATATAGGCTGTTTTGTATGTTTCTGTAATGCTATCAAAACAAGGAAATTTGGAAGGAAACTAAAGAAATGTGGAATAGAGAGTTAACTGGCCAACTGACCTGAGAGATCCATATCCATGTCCCTTCCAAAGAAAGGTGACCCAACAGGGTAGAAATTATCAAACAATATCATTGATATTATCATCAAATCAGGTTAGCAGAAGATAAATTAAACAAAAAAAGTTGGGGCAGGAAACCCACACGAAGCTGCCTGAAAGTCAAGTTGCCTTCAGAAGAGGACGTGACGGCAACGATATGGATCTTGGCTGAAAACAGAGATACCAAAATGTGCTTACTTGTGTTTTATTGATGATGCATAGACATTGGACTGGTTGAACTACAAAAAGCTATAGATAATATTGAACAAGGGAATTGTAGAAATCCTTAAACGTGGTCCTGTGGAACCTGACCAGAGACCAAAAGGCAGTCATTCCAACAAAACAAGGGGATAATGAATCACAACATCAGAAAATATGTTCATCAAGGCTATTTCAGTACAATATATCTTTGTCAGACCGTATGCTGAGCAAGTAACTGAGAAGCTGGACATATGAAGAAGACTGTGGTCTCAGGATGGGTGAAAAGCACAGGCACAACCTTGCACACTCCAAGACAAAAAGTCCTGAAGCACTTAGTGATGAAGACCCAAGAACTTACCCGTCAATATGGATTACACCTCAACACCAAGACAACAGAAATCATCACAACTAATTCATAAACCACATCATAACAAATGGGGAAAAAAGGAATGTGTTTAGAAAGGATCTAATTTTAGTTGGGTTCACAATCAAAGTTCATGGAAGTAGCAGTCAAGAAATCAAATGACATTGATGTTGTGTGAATATTGCCTCAAATAAGGAAACACAACTCCTGTTTAAAGTTTCCAGGAGCAATACTACAATCCTATCACTTGGGGGATCAAAGTATGCCTCACCCTCCGTGGTAATTTCAGCTCATATGCATTTGAAGGATGAATAATGAATGAGGGAGACTAGACAAGAATTGATGCATTTGAATTACGGCGTTGATGAAGAATATTGAATATGCCATGGACTGCCAGAAGACAAACAATATGTGTTAGAAGTCTTACAGACAGAATACTCTTTCAACTTGAGAATGGGGACACTTTTCTCAAGTACTTGGGCCCTGTTATCTGGGGGGACTAGTCCCTAGAGAAAGACACAGTGGTTGGTCAAGGGGGGTCAGGGAAAGAGAGGAAGCCTCTCAAATAAAGTCATTGGCTCTAACAAAGGGATGAAACATAAATTATGAGAAAGGGCGAGACCAGGAAGTGTTTGGTTCTGTATTACACAGGGTTTCTATGAGTCAGACCTCATTGGAAAGCATCTAACAAAAGCAACATATCAGGATGCTCTAAAAAGTTGATTGGAAAATGCATTACCTTTTCATAGGATTTTTCCACCATTGTTTATATGCCTTATATCCAAATGCATTGGTATATCATCTTAGGTCCACTATGTGTTCTGTGAAACTGTCTATCTTGTGATTTCAAATTGTGTGAGCACCACAATACACAGGTATTCTCCAAATTATATACCAAATTATGTATTATACAGTCTATACCCCAAATTGTATATTATGCAATACATACCCCAAATTACACCCCGAATATAAGAAAACACCTTTAACATAATAATTCATAATAATAGTATTGATTCCCTTATGAAAATCCACTGAATTTGTCTGAAATTTGTGATAAAATCGGTTTTATGGGAATTCAGACCAGGACATATAATTTGCATTGCTTGAATGGATGTCATTTGGAGCATGATTGTGCATTTATTCTATGTTATATTTATGTATCACGTAATAAAATATATTGTACTATAACATAGTAGCACCTAGTCTTATATATTCTATGTGTAATAGAACAACACAAACACACATACATTGTTTGGGAGAGTCTAACATGGGACTTCCTCTCAGGACACCAAACCACAGTCACTGCCACGGAGTCCACCAACTCAGAGTGACTGAATAGGACAAAGTAGCACTGCCCTTGTGGTTTTCTGACCCTGTAACTCCTTGTAGGAATATTAAACCTCATCTTTGACCCATCAAGATTATTGAGGGTAGGTAGAGAAGAGATGAATCCCACAAACTCTCACCCTGTCAGGCACCACCCTTTTCTCAGCTGTCTTGCCTTCTCGGGCCAAGACATGGAATGACCATGTCTTCTGTCCCTATGTCTTGGTCACTTATCCAATGAGGTTCTCTCTCCTTTGTACCACCTTGTTGAGATTTGAAGTCCCTACATACAGTTTCTCTTTTCAGCAGCTGACTGGTATCCCTTAGAAACACCTTCTCCAACTGTACTGTTGGGTTTACTCTGAGAGTTTCATTGGCCTCAGCCAGCACCTGATACCGAAACTGACCATCAGGTGGGAGCATTCTTGGTCACAAACAAAGCACATGTGCACACATGATGTTAAACAGAATGAAGCATGGTGGCCTCTCTGCATCCGTCAATGTGAGCTTAAGGGAGGAAAGCTACTTCACAGTAACAGCAATGACACTTAGACCGTGTACTGTGGTGGCATATTGTCTGCCTGCATTCCCCCTTTTACGACTGAGTACCATGAGGACAAGTCTCAGGGCTTATAATAGGTTCTGCTCTGACATACTCTTTCTTTTCATTGTATTGCACAGGGTAGTATCCTCTCAGCGGACTTGTTCCATCTGTATACTGAACAAAGACTCAGAGAAGCAGGATGATATGAAGAAGAATAGAGCATTAGGATAGGAGGAACGTTTGTTAACCGGCAATGTTTAGGTGACACAACCTTGCTTGCTGAAAGTAAGAAGGATTTGAAAACTTGCTGACCAAGTTCAAGGATGGCAGCCTTCAGTCTGGATCAGAATTCAATGTAAAGAAGATCAAATCCCCACAACTGGACCAATAGACAACATCATGATACGTGGAGAAAGGGTTGACGCTGTCAAGGATTTTCTCTTGCTTGGATCCACAATAGTGCTCATGGAAGCAGCAATCAAGAGATCAATAGATGACTCACATTAGGGAAATCGGTGGCAAAAGACTGCTTTAGCGTATTGAAGAGCAAGGATATTACTTGCTAAGGACTAAAGTGTGCCTTCCCCCAAGTCATAGTATGTTCATTTACTTCATATACATCTGAAAGTTGGTCATTCAGTACAAAAGACCGAAGAAGAATCCATCAACAAACAGATCTGTCTGAGAAATGTATAGTCAGAATGCTCCTAGGAGGGAGGAGGGGAGAAAGACTTATTCCCACATACATTCGACATGTCATCAGGAGAAACCGTCCCTGGAGAAGACTCGTGTTGGTAAAAGGGCATTGCAGAGAAAAAGAGGAAGGTGCTCAAGGAGATGGATTGACGCAGAGATGCAGCAATGAATACAAACGCAGGAACATTGCTGAGATGGCACAGGGATGGGCATTGTTGCCTCTGTTGTGGATAAAGTCATCGTGAGTCTGAACCAACTCAGGGGCGCCTCATAGTAGCAACATATTGGATCAACTTTATCAATTTCTTCAGTGATCAAGTCCCCTGGAGGCCTCCTTTGCTGTCACCTCTTGCCATGGCCATGACGGATTCTGAGAGTGTCACTTGCAGTGGGATCAGTTGGTCAGACAGTTGATTGGTTCTTTCTAGGGTTCTGTTCCTAGGAGGCCCGTATCTATCCATAACTCAGGGGATGTAGGCTCAGAGACTGCCTAT